ATTTAAGCTTTTTTGATATAGACCTCATTCGATAGAAAACTGTGTTTAAGTACAGCCAGTACTTGTACTTGTTAGCTCTTGTAATTTTAAGCACTATTTCCTGTTTTATCTGTTGGTAAATAGACTGAAAGAATTGTTGTATATTATTCTGTACACCGGAAGACAACGAACGCACAAAACCATTTTGTTGGATTTTTATTTCAAATGTAATGTATCCCTTACTATGTCTGCTGATACTTGCTAAGTGTGTTTCTCGTCAACTATTGTTATTCAATAAAGAACGAACAAATGATTATGTAACACTCAAAAGAAATGAAAACTAACTATTTATATTTCTGCAAAGTTTTTAGATTGTTGCGCTTTTCGTTTAACACAATACTTTCACCTAAATTAGATATTTATGCTTAATCAAAAGATAAATTTTAGATCTCGTCAAAGAGTACAAATAATGATTCATCATGATAACATTACAGGTTCATGTTGAAAGAACAAATCAAATAAATATGAGTCATGCAATGCCATAACAACAAATATGGATTTTTCTTACATGCGTCATTATAGCGTCAAAGATATGGTGGATTTTTTTTTTTGCTTATATAAATATTGAATTGAATGTTGAGACATCTGTAGACAAATTCTTTTGAAAAAAGACTTCACAACCAGCTTAGGTCATGACTCATCCAAAACTTTATGAAAGTCGTGGTGCACAATATTACAAGGATAGTCAAACGACTAGTTTTTGTTTATATGCACCTAATGCAAGAAATGTTTGGGTTATTTTAACAGCTTTTGGTAATGAAGAACATCGATTACAGATGACAAGAACTATTGAAGGTCTTTGGGAAACTGTTACAGATAAAGCGAAACCTGGTCGAACATATCTTTATCTTATTGATGATTATCACGGTAGATACATGTTACGAACAGATCCAGTAAGTTTTTCTGTTGTTCACATTCCAGAAGTCAATCAAGTTCATTCAGTTGTTCATGATGAAACAATCTATCAATGGGGTGATCAAAATTGGATGATGCATCGATCTTGATCTATGGCCTGCTGTATTGGATTGGTGTAACGACATATATGTATTTCTGAGTTATACTTGGTACATACACCCCAACTAGAGAAGAAGATTTTAATTAATCCTAACTTCAAAAACAGTAATTAAGTAAAGTACTAAAGGATATTGGGTGTAGTGATTAAAATCGATATAGATGTCGTTAAATTTGCATTAGTCGCTACAAAGGCTCGCGATGACACTATTGCGTTCAATGGCTATCCTTGGTGCGGATTTTTTCACTTTCATCTTGTATTGAAACAAATTCAGATCTTCAAGAAATATCATTTCGTTTTCTATCGTGCGATAGAAAGTGGTTCTTTGCATATGAACTGTCTTTTTATTTTTATTTATTTAAATAAAACAATTACAATTAAAAACAATTTTTTGTTTAACTGGAATGACGATTTAATTTGTTCAGTTTCAGTTGCTCTTGTACAAGAACTTACTTTTACTTAAAAAAAATATTTAGTTTGTATACATTTCAAAAACATTAGGTTTCTTGTTCAATATTGTACAATAAGATACAACACAAAACAACGACCACTGTTTCGTTGTCTATACATACACTTTTATATTTTTTAATATTATTTTTTATGATACTGACACGGAAGAAGATGAAATCTGATTCATCGTCTCGATTATCATTGTTTTATTCCTTCTTTTGTACCAATATTACAAAAAAAATGTATAAAAAACGATAAGAAATGTTTGTATAGACAATTGTACACTTGTTATTATTTTTGTGTTTTATCTTATGGTAATTGTTGTAAAACATTGAACAAAGCTGATGCTTTCAAAAAGTATGTAAAGTAACGGGTGGCCCACAAATAATTATACTGTGAGTATTTTCGAAATTGCTACTCTATTATCGCTTTGATTAAAATACTTTTAAACAAAAGATAGCGCTTGAAATTCTCTACAAGACTATATATAACTAGACCCTAAAACTGTTTTAGATATATTGGAAAAAACATGAAAAATAAAGACACTCAAAAAGCTGTAAAATGTAATGGAATGGATATGATGAATGACCGCACGTTCGTTCCCATTTTTTCATCACTCACTTCGTCCTGTTAGAAAAACAAAATATACCAAAAGATGCAACATGAAAAGCTCTATAGTTTGCATAAGACAGCCTACATTATAGTTGCATTTTTTGTTTTCAAAATGAACAAAGGTTTTGAGCGATCAAATTTCGATCGTGCGAAAATGATACATTTTTTGGTACAAGATGACTTCGTTTTTCCTTACTTCCTCTTTTTACAATTTGTTCTTTCTAAATTGTAGACCTTTTCACGCTGCATCTTTTGGTATATATTTTTTTTAATAGGACAAAGTGATGAAAACATTAGGTGCAAAGCGCGACCACTCATTATGTCCATTCCGTTATATTTTGCAGCTTTTTGTATGTCTTTATTTTTCATGTTTTTTCCAATATATCTAAAATAGTTTTAGGGTCTAGTTATATATAGTCTTGTAGAGAATTTCAAGCGCTATCTTTTGTTTAAAAAAGTGTTTTAATCAAAGCGATAATAGAGTAGAAATTTCGAAAACACTCACAGTATAATTATTTATGGACCATCGGCTATGTTTGTTTTTAAATAAATGTAAATTCTTGCGGAAGAATAAATGAAACTGGGTGAATTAAAAACAATCATCCTCCTCTGTCTCTTCGCTTTGACTTGACGAGAAAATCTAAAAATAAAACAATGTTAATGCTGTGATTTTGTCGTAAAAGCTTTATCTTTTACCGAGTCACTAATTTCGTCCACTTCATCACTTAAATAATTGTCCGTTGGTATAGATGATTCATCGCTGTTTTCTTCTTCAGTAGAATATTTGTGATCGAACAAACTTGATGTGAATCTTGAGTTACGTGTGAAGGAATCAATTTTTTCTGTTGCTGATTTCTACCAATTCGAAAACAGAAAATCAGTCCCATATTTGATTGTTAGAAAAACAAAATAATGAACTCACTATTATTGTTTGTGAATTTGATGTAGCAGTGTGAATCAATTTTCGGTTTGAACAATCAGCAGGACATTGACAGAATATAGTGCATGGTAATTGATTTACAATACATATACATCTAGTGCACTGTCCTTTGTGTTTTCCACAGCAAGACAGTTGTCGATCATTAGGAAATGGTAACTTGGATGTCCATTGAACTTGCAGATGACCATCAATCATTTGGTATCCGCTATCTTCTAAAGCAGGATATTTAATGTAACCATCAGGTGCTTGTAACCATATTTGAACTTGTCTTGAGACACGTAAACAGTGATAAAATAAAGAATCGTGTGTTGGTGGTAATGATGCAGCAATGGACATTGAATTTTTTTTTAAGGCAGTCATGGCCATATTAGCACGTAATTCATTGATTGAAACATCTGTTTGAGTTACTTGATAGGATACTCTTGAACCTGTTGTTAAAGAAGATGATTGCCGGTGACGCCGATTTGAAGAAAAGCATCGAACAAATAGTGTTTCAGCAGCAGCAATCTGTGACATAAAGATATGAAAGTAAATGCATCAATAGAGAAAGAAAACTTTTTCAAAAAAATGACGAATGATGATACTTGACAAAACAATGCTTATCACAACTAAGACGGTAACAGAGGACTTCAAAAGATATCAAACTGAGAGAATTTAAATTATCAAGAGACTTCAACATATCTTAAGAGCAATAATTCAAAAACATCAAGAGAGTTCCGAAGGCTTCATAGAATTCTCCAATTCTTCGTAAGGCTTCAGAAGAGTTTTTTAAACTTCCAAAAACTTTAAGATTGAACTCTCTCTAGTTTCTTTCGAACACACAATCTAATCAGACTTTAGCTATTGAGAATTATGTTTATCAGTTCTGTTCGTCGACGATTGTCACAATTGTTCAACTACTAAACTAAAAATGATTGTAGACTTTATCTATATATCGACGTACATTGTCTTTTGTGACAGGGAAGGTTGTCAGCTTCTGTAGATCAGCAAAATCATTTGGAGTATCAAAAAGTGTTTGCATAAAAGTTCGTTTGCTGATATTACGAGTAAAAGAGCAGGTGTCACACCCGGAAAGAGCATAAACGATAAGAAGAAGAATTGGATTAACACCAAATTTATCAATTAATTCATTGTGTATATATGTGCAATCTATCACTTTTGGTGGTTTCTTTGGTACAGTTGCATCAACAACTAATTTTTTAAGACCAAGAAGAGATGCATAATAAATACATAAGACGATAACATCAGTGTCAATTGATTTTACCACGATGTTGAAGAAAGAATTTTGAATAAGTTGATCGATATGAAAAATGATACGTGAGTCAGCCTCGATTTGATTACTTTCAAGTTCGACCATATTCATTGGCTGCTTGTCTTTCTCTAATTTTATTGCTGTTTCAAGAGGACCTGCTAAGACTAGAACAGATCCTAATGGTAATTTTTCTGTAGCTTCTGTGTCTTTCCAGCATTCAATAACAGCAGTTGCCAAAACAGCTCGATTTGATGCAACAAAGTTTTGGTATTTTTTTCCTGTTGGAAGTAGAGAACTTCGAACAATGCGGTCGTATTTCGGTTGTGTTGTATTTTTGTTACTATGACGATGAATAAATGACTTCAAATCTTGACTTCTAGACGAGTCAAATATAATATCAATACGTGAATAATCGATGAATAAAGGTGTTATATGTTCAACTAATAAATAAATAGCATATTCAAAGACGTTGCTTCCTGCACGAGGATAAATATGAAGTAATGAAGAACCATCAATTACAAGTGCCTGTTGTTGATTTGTGGTAAGGAAATATGTAGAATATATACCTAAAGGAAACTTCTCTTTCAAGAAGTGAAAGGTATCTTTTGATTTTGATTGTTGGTTTAATAAATTTGAATTTTCTAATGAACATAGGCTGATCGGTGTTGAGGAGAATTCATGTCCAAATACAGACTAAAGAAGGGCAATTCAAAATTGGTATACTAAACAGCATATTTTAGCACTCACCACCAAGTCAATAGAACGATACTGAGCAAGAAGCAGGATGCGTCGTATTTCAGCATCAATTTTTTTCATGTCGATTGTAGATTTCTTCTTCGTGCGCTTATTCGTACTGGATCTAGTGCCATCATATGTATCATTATCACGTATATGAAGCAAAGATGAATCATGCAACGTCCCATTTAAAGGAACCGAGCAATTAACTAGTCGATTACGAATAAAATTTTTGAGTGCTTCTGCACCAATTTTCTAAAATAGTAGAAAAACTAATGTAGAAGTCAAGATAAAAAAAAGATTTAATGTATTGGTCATGAAATTTAAAAAATCAAATAAAGAGTATAACTTACACGGCATTGAATATTACTTTGAATGATATCTGAATGTATAATCTTACCAGTAAAGAGTTGAGTAACATTATTCGTATCCAATGAGAACAACTTTTCTTCAACAAGTTTATCAAGAATAATTTGTAAATCGACATGATCGGCTAACATACGAGAAGAAGAACATTCAATATGGCTTTCAATGCTGTTGAAATTAGATTCAACACCAGCTAATTCACTGGTAATTGTAGAAAGTAATGATCGAAAAGTATACGATTTTGACCAAATGTCGATTAAGTCAGGTGAACAACGACCTGTAATACCTCCATGTCCCTTACCCATCTTGTTAATGGTCGCTTCTATTGTTTGATCAAGAGCAATGGAGCTAAAATTTCGGTTACTACGTGAAACAGCAAAACTTTTAGAAAGATGATCTAAAATTTCCTCTGGCCATATACGTAGATCCGAAAGATGACGAGCTGTTAAACGAGCATATTGTCTGTGATTTGTTGCAAAAAATAATTCAGCTAATTCACAGGCCGCCGCATTTCGAGCGGAAAAATTACTTGTACGTAATGCAGTATATAATTTGATTAAAGGTGTAATTAACTCGAACAATACAAATGTCCAAAAATGAAACTTTAAGTTTTCGTCACAATTATTCTTAATCCAAAGATCGAAAGCATCTTGCAATTTAGCATTGGATAAATAATCGAGTACAAATTTATACCACCTTTTTTTTTCTTCAACATCAGCTGAATCTGTTGGCATTTTGTTCATTAGCTGTTCAATATTATCAATCATTGTTGTTGGTAAGGTCAAAAAAAATTGATCATGTACGAGAATAAGTAATGCAGTGTATAAGAGTTTGATGGTTCGTAATGATTTGTTAAAATGTGAAACTGATAAAATAGCTCGATGTGTAGCATCTTTGTACAATGTGCCAATTAATGTATCAACTCCTGATTCTTCTAATATGCCCCAGATGACAATCATTGCACATTTCATCATATGAAAATCACCTGGATAGAGGAAGATACCCTCAAAATCTAACCAATGTTCATCTTTTACCTTAGAAAAAAAGTTATAGGTGAGAGAGAAACAGCAGACTTCAGAAGTTCAAGATACTTCAAAACAATGCATAAGATAGGATTGTCTTGTTAGCATTAGTATTATAATAATGCTAATGTTTGTGCGTTATCATTAACCATTAAGTCTAATGCTTGAGCATTATTTGCATTAGAATTAATTAATGCTTTGGTGTTAAAATTAACTTGTCATTATTTTTAATTCTTATACAGGTACCAAACCTGGCTTCGAGAGGAGCACCTCAACATGATACTCGTAGCATTTCATGGATGCTGCTAGCATCCATGAAATGCTACGAGTATCATGTCGATGTACCCGTCTCAAAGCTACGTGTAGTATATCTGTATTATAATGAAAAATAATACTAAGTTAATGCTAACACCTCGGTATTAATTAACTCTAATGCCATGAACACTTAACCATTAGTCTTAATTGTTAATGCTAATGTTAATGCTAATTCTAATGCGACATCCTTATCATAAGACTTCACGGGATTTCGGTGGACTTCTTGGGTTTTCAAAAGACTTTCTAGGCGTTCAGAAGCCTTCTATATTCTATGAAACTTCAAGTTCAGAGACTTCAGAATTTCAAGAAACTTCCTAAGACCTCTAAAGACTTCAATCAATTTCAATGGACTGCTACAGACTTCAAAATATATTAAAAGCTATAGCCCAGCGACTTCAAAAGCCTTCTTTAGATTTCATAAGACTGCATGAGAATTCGATAGACCTCATGGAATTTCAAAAGACTTCATGAGATTCAAAGACTGAAGTCTCTGCTGTTTCCCCTTGGAATAAATAATAATCTTATTCAAATACGAACCTTGGTGCATAACCGAAAAATTCGCTCATCGACTACAAGAACAGCACTGTTTTGTATTTCATTATCAATCAAGAGTTTTTTCATTTCGACCAAACATGCTTCAGCTGTCTCCAATTTATTTGGATCTTCAATAATTGGAGGCATAAATGTAACTTTATGCCTTGGCCGAGTACTATGTGGTAAATGTATAGCCATGAAGCCTGAGTATAATGGAAGATTATTTTTTCCTACGCGATTGTAATAAGACTTGATAAATCCATAAGCAAATAAATGAGGTGTAAGTGAGTGGTCGATGAATGGTTCAAAATCGTGGTAAAATGACATGGCATGATCATGCAATACTTTATCTATAAAGATAACAAAATGAAGTACAGAGTTAAATTGAAGTGATCGTGTTTCATAGAATGTCAAGGTTAAGACTTCCTAATAATTCTTACCAACTGCTCGGATTTTGCTCATCGATGTTTCACCATCGTTTTGTGTTATAACTGAATTATCTATTGCTTGATCAACATTTGATGATAGTGCTATACAAAAAAAAAATACCGAGAATGATTAGCAGAAGCATGAATGACTCTTCATTACGATCATTTTTATCTTCATCTGATTCACCAGGATTAGCATCCATCGAATTTACGAAAGATACTGTCGTACTACATAATTGATTATTCTTATCAACAAGATTTGTAACTAGAGTTAAAAAAAACTGATTGATGATATAATCAAGAAAAAATTTTACATAATTACCATCGATGTTCATAGTATTATCAAGAATTTCAATAGCTTCTAAATCTAAATCAAAACAAGTTGTAAATTCTTAAGAATGAGTTCTTTCAAAAATAGCTATTTACCATTAGAGACTTCATCGTTATTTTTTTTGTTAGCTATAAATAGAAAATTTTGCAAACTGTGGACTATTCAAAAAATGAAGCTTACCATTTTGTTTGTAGTTGTTCTCAGGTGTTTGAACAAATATTCTATTAAGAAAGTGGTAACTACGTTCACCATGGAGTGTTTCTCGATTTAGATCAAAATTATCAGCCACTTGTACTAATTAACAATCTGGAAGAACACCAGCTGGTAAAGAACATTCCATAGCTTGATTATTTGCAATTTTGTGATGAATACGAGAAATTGTTTTATATGAAGCAGCATGTCCAAATCGATTCAGAATAGATAAGAGCTCATATGATCGACCATGTTTACATATTTCATTAGCTAATAGTATATGTTTAGGTGATACAATATGATCATGACGAGCATTTAGAATATCATGTCCAATTGCTGCATTCTTCAATGATTTATAGCTTTTTTGAAAAAGATCTTTATTAAACATATCATAATAATTATAATCGGCTTCAAGTTTTTTAAATTGACGATTGCTTGAAGTAAGAAAACCAATGAAATTACGGATCACAAGAGGTATACAATCAGCAAATAGATTATTAGTGAGCTCAGTCATCTTTTCTGGTTGTTTAAATAGTGTTTCAAGTATATGCAAACTCTCTTTCATATGACTACGGAGCAATCGCACCGCATTAAAAATTATCTGACATTCGTCAATTTGATCTTCATTAGATGACTTTGAAGTAATTGTAGTTGGTTGTTGATGATCAGATAAGTCGAGTGTCGAAGATTTGCTCAAACAGATTGCTGCACGAGAATAATGACTAATATCATTTAAAGCTATATAAGTACCATCTCTTTTACTAACAGTTTCAAAATGATAATGATTAGGAAACTTTGATTCTAATTGTTTACGAATACTATCACAACGAATATTAGAATCAAGTTGATGTTCATGATGATTGTAGCTTTTAATAATTTGATTATAAAAATGTTGAGCATCTATCAATGGAATAAGACGACCATCTCTAAGGGTGCTCTTCAACCAAGCGTGCAGTTCATTTATAGGTGAATCATAGATTAATGATCTATCATTGGTACCACTTGAATAAGGAACACCTTCTTCAGATTGTCTTCGGTGTCTTTTTCTAATCTATGATATTGAAACAAAAATAAAAATCAATTCGTTGAAATTATGATACTCAGTAAATTTATCTGCAATTAATTTTTTGTTCTATTACAAAATAAAATTATATTCATGTTTTATACTTGAATACTTATAAATGAATGGAAATGTATCTATTTAAAAAAGCTTAACAGACTATCGAGTTCCTAAAAAGCATCAGTGATTTTCTTATTTCTAAAGATGACACTGAGAAATCGTATCATGTATTATGAGTAATCTAAAGTACCATGAATCCGAAACTATAAAAGATCAATAAACACAAGCGGTATTCAATTTAAAAAATATTTTCCAGTTTTCAAATATTTGAATAAAATTCAAATTTCCTCCAAAAATGAAATGCACGATATTATTCGCAACTTATTCTCTATTTAAAAATAAAATGACGAGCTTAGTTCTTTCTCAATCTTATTACTCTATTGCTCTGAAACGTTTAAGAAGATAAAAGAGATAGTCAGTAGTAGGAAAAAGAAAAAATGAAAAACAGAAACAAGTTGTAGAAATCAGTTATCTCTGTTCTTTTTTACATTAGGTGAAGGTCGATACACTTCTGAATGAGAAAATTCTTTTGTCATTAGTTTACATTTATCTTAAATGAATGAGTCATTGATACCCAGTTTTCTAAAACATGCTAGACTAACATATATCCTTGGTTATTTGTAGCTTAAAAAAAGTTACGTTTTCTCTAAAACAAAGTTAATTCTTTCAGAAGTAAAAGCTAGATGTATGTAAAAAAGGAAAAAAAGGATCATACAAGCATTGTACTTCTATTTCCACTCTCGTCTTCTACAATTTTCAAACATGAAGTTGAGAAAAATTTCACATACGCACTTTTATGAGAAATGACCTTCGGTGTCGATGTGTGATACATTGGATGTAATCGAGATCGCATTGTACTGGTTTGTTGATCAATACTTGTAGAAACTTGCGAACCAATCATAAACGATGATTCTTCTTCAACAGGACCTGTAATACAATCGAAAATAGTCTCTCGACAGTAATAAATAACTAACCTGATGTTACTGTTGCGTCATATTCGTCATTAGGTTGAATTACGTTGGTATTATAATCAATTGAAAGGTTTTCCAAAGAAATAACTTCATGATCACTCTAAATATGAATATTTGCACTACGGGCTAAAAATAGAAAAAAAACATTACCTTTCTCTGTTCAGAAAAAATATTATCGTATCGACAATTTATATTGCTTTGGAGTACTGAATCATTACATATTTCATTATTTTCGTCATTAATGTCGTGAACTGATAAATCTTCTGTAGGAAAAATTTGATCTGTATCATTCCAACTAATTGTACTACGTAGAGAATGATCAATGTTAGAAAGATTAGTAAAAACTGGCCTATTGTTTTGAGAGATTGATTGATTTGAGAAAGTTGTTTTTGAACCCAAAAATTCATATTTTTTATCATTATCATCTTCTTTGTCATGATTCTCATCATCTCTTTCATCATCATAATCAATGTCATCATTATCATTATCCATATTACAAACATCCAACAAAAGATGTTCATCCGATACATGGTTTTCATCATTAACTGGAATCATTTGACCTTCAAAACTATTTGCTACATTATTCACTTTTGTATTTCTAATAGACCGGTTGTACCATCGATCCTGATATTTTTTGTAGCATTTTAAATGAACTTTTGTATTAAAAAGAGATCTATTTAAGTCTCTTTGATGAAAGGAATAATAACCAAATTGAATTTTAGCTTCAGCATCACTTGTTACAAGACGTAAATGTTGTTTTTAAACAAATACCGCAACGAGCTGCCATTTCAAAATACAAGAATAAAGAAAGTTTAAACCGCCAAAAACCATTATTGCCTCATCTGTGAGACATGTTGCTATGCGCTTAACCTCTACTAAGATGAGTTCGTAATACAAAAAAAAAGATTCACCCAATATATATATTTTTTTTGACAACAAACTCAATATTGCTATTTATGTAAATTAGATTTATTTTGCAGAATAGAAGTGTATTTCTCAGTGCATTGTTGTGCTAAATCATTTGATTTCTAGAAATGAACGCTGAATCATCGTTCACTAGCTAACGGATCATCTCAAACGGATCCTTTACAATCACCATTATCTATTTATGAAATTCAAGCAAAATCTTGGAAAAGTGGTCGAAATCAACCATTCACATTTCGTCAAATTGCGCCTGAATTAGTTATCTATTGTCAAGAAATGGGATTTACTCATGTTGAAATGTATGGAATACTTGATCATGCTCGTAAATGGGAACGTGGTTATCAGATAGCTAATTATTTTGCTCCTTACCGTGATAGTGGTACATGTGATGATTTAAAATATTTAGTAGATCTTTTACATCAAAATGGAATTGGTGTAATTCTTGATTGGATTCCAACACATTATCATCATGATCATCAATCTCATTACTTTTCTGTTTCATTACATGAATATGATGGAACAAATTTACATGCAAGTTGTCCATCACGATGGGGAACACTTTATTTTGATTTTAATAAAGAAGAAACACGTCGAGTTTTATTTGCTAGTGCTCTTTATTATATTGATCGACTTCATATTGATGGAATTCGTTTTGATGCTGTTAGTCAAATGATTCGACGTAATCGACAAGATATACCAAGTGCTATTTCATTTTTACGTGAACTCAATCAAACAATTCATAGACATTACCCTGGTGTTTTATGTATTGCAGAAGAAACTGAAGGTTATCCAAATCTTAATAGAAATATGAATTTCGATTTAAAATGGAATATTGGTTGGAGTAATGATGCAAGAAATTTACTTCGAACACCTTATGCTGAAAGACCACAACATTGGAAACAAAAAGTACTTGATGTATTACATTGGGCTCGATGGAGTGATGATAAAATGATTCTTACATTAAGTCATGATGATACAGATTCTGGAGCACATAATAGTAATTGTATTTTATTGAATTTAGTTTCACATGCTCGAAATGATATGGATAAATTCTCGGATTTGAGAAATTTTTTTGCATGGCAAATATGTGTACCAAGTCGTGGTCATCTAATTCATATGGGTGATGAAATTGCTCAACCAATATCTTGGTATCAAAGATTCTGTCGAGAGTTATCAAGTATGGATTGGTCATTGGATAATTCTTCGACATTACATGGTCAAATTCAACAATGTGTTCGAGATTTAAATCATCTTTATATAAATCATCCACAATTTTGGCAATATGGAGAACAAGATTTTTCAATGATTTATGAATATGGTCCAAATTTAATTGTAGCCTATCATCGTGGTATTCATAATAATAGACGTATAGCCATTATTCATAATTTTTCAAATCGAGGATATAAATCTTATGACGTACCTCTACCAGGATCGGATCCTAATGTAGCTCGTATTCGACATGCAATAGAAATTTTTAACACAGATTATCCTCAATATGGTGGTTCAGGTTTATTTCAAAATCAACAGAATGAAATAGTGCATAATCATTCAAATGGTAAACTATTTAAACTTTCGATTCCTCCTCTTGCAACAGTTGTATTAGAAGAAAATTTGGCTTAATCAAATGTTGTTCTCCTTTGATACTTGACAAAAAAAGATAGAAATATGAATTTTGTCGTTCTTATGAGTGTCGTTCAGATACATTCTGATAATAAAAATAATAAGTGTAAACTCTCATTTCCTTTTTTCAAATAAAACACAATTAGATAGACAAGCGTGAATAAGAAAAAAAAGAAAGTAAATGTTGAGAATCATACATTATATTTTCATTGGAACAAAAAACTCTTCCTACGTAGTAAGTTTTATATAAGTAGAATTCTGTTGGAATAATAGCTGTAGTTATTGATGTAACTTTTTGCTTGTTAACTATTTTCATCGTTATCATCAATCAACAATGTCGAAACTTTACTAACTTGCTCGTATGTAGTTCATGTGATTTTTTAGTTATTTGCTTTTTATTCATAGCTATAAGCACAACTGTCTATAGACTTCGTGAAGATTGGGCATTCAATGCACCATTTTATGTTTTCCGAGCTTATAGTGGTTCAGTGGGTATTGTTCTTATTTGCTACTCATATTCAATTCAAGCGATTAATCGTCTATTTTTCGCTGTTTTCTACAAACATAAACATCTTCAGATTTATCGAACGCATTGGATCATAATTATTTTACAATGGTTCCTATGAACTCGAAAAAGAATCTCGTGCTTGTGCCATTACAAGTAAGGCATTCGCAGGTTCATTGTAATGATGGTGTAGTGATATCTTTCATTTCATTGAATATTGTAACAATTGGATTCGGAATAACTCTTCATCCAGTTCGTTGAGTTACAACTACTTAGGGTTGACCAAAAGATCGTAGAACGGCACTGAAAAGATATTGTCGGATAAGATAATTTATTCAAAGATGAAAAGTCAAATATGGGACATTGTAGAGTTTTTTGAGGCGCGTCGAATGATATATAGTTCATCCTATTTTTATAAG